ATCGCGCTCCTGTCCTCTTATTTGTTCTTTGCACCCGTCTACCTTGCCCGGGCACCTGTCTAGACCAGGTGGGTGCACGGTTTGGGCTGGCTCTGGCTTGAGGGTGTTTGTGCCTGTTGAGATCGAGCCTGGACTTGTCCAGAGTAGACCGGTGCCAGTTTGGGTTTGGGGGTGGCTCGAGGCCATTAGTTTTCTTCAGATGGTGCCCTGACTGGATGCCTCAATCTTGAACAAATGGACCTGTCTACAGCAGGTGGGTGCAAGGTTTGGGCTGTGTCTGGCTTCAGGCTGTTCGTGCTTATTGAGCTTCAGCCTTCCAGGCGTCCGGACAAGACGGGTGCAAGGTTTGGATTTGGGTCTGGAAGGTGGACAGACGGGTGCCAGTTTGAGTTTGGGGGTGGCTCGAGGCCTCTGTTTTCTTCAGGAGGCTCTGGGACGGGAGGCTTTGAGGCTTCTGGCCTAAAAGTTTGAAGCCTTACCAAGTCGCTGAGGCCTCTGGGACTCTGGGTGCCCCCCGCAAAGTCCCAGTTTTGGGTGTTTGCGAGCCATTGCCCCGCATCGACTCGGGAAAGGTTTGGGTACGTCATTCGCCTGATTGGTTACTCGCCAGCGGCCTGCCGGGCCTACCGCGCAGCCCACAGCTGCCTGTTGGACTGGGAGCTCTGTCGCCCGCCGGAGGGCTTTGGGCTCCAGAGCTGCCTCGCCTGCCAGCTTCAGCGTGCTCGACGGCCCCGGGCTCACTCAGTTTAGGGTTTGCGTTTAGGGGCTTCGGGTCCACCATTACTCCGATGGCTACTGAAATCACTGTTACTATTACTATGAGAAGCTCTGGGATTTCGGCTCTTGCTCTGTGATGTGGGCCTGGAGTTTGGGGTTGAGGCCCTCGCTGGGATTTGAGTCTTCAGCTTTGGGAATTTGGAGGAACTGGGGCTCTGGGTTCAAGCCTTGGAAAACACATGAAACCCTCTGGGCCTCCGCAAGCAAAGCGAACAAACAAACCTGGGAATTCAAGTGTGTTCCTAGACACGCCAGATTACCTCACTGCAACTGTTTCAGGCGGACAGCCATCATGTGGGCGAACATACCTTGCTCAGCTGCGCCAGGACAGAAACACAGATTTAGGGTATAGTCCCCCTTAAGTAGATAGAATCTGGCTTTGGCTATGTGGTATATAATAAGATCCCCATATACCCCATGTTCTATCTACTTAAGAGGGACCATATACTTGATCCAGCAGGAAGGTTTGCTTCGGGGGGGGGTGGTAGAGACGATGAGGGCCTCTGAATTCAGCGTCAGCGCCGAGGGCTTAAGCATGTGGGCTTGAACAGATGCTAACTTAAACAGGACCGCCTAAACCCTGAACCCCTTTTGGGATTCCACGTTACTTCCGTTTCGTGCACATGAAAAGGGAAACCCCAAACCCTATATAACCCCCTATAGCTCAAGTGGCCTTGGTCAAGTTTGTGTAGAGGTTCGCATAACATCCATCGTCGAGTAGCATGGTGTCACTGTACCTCACCAGGATGCAGGCGGCTTCTTGTGGATGCCCAGGCCACTGGTAGGTGAATATGCTGGGATCCATATTTGCGTCCCACAGTTCTAGAAACTAACATATACAGCTTCCCACCACGATAAACATTACATGCAGAAAGTTACAACAAAAAAGTATCCCAATCTTTGAAGCAAAGGGTTGCTCAGCAGTTGCCCGGAGGAGAGATATTTCAGATCCGAAAAGAGCATCCCGCCCAGCATTGATAGTATGGCTGCTAAGCTGGGCGGCCACGTCTCAATGAGCGAAGGTCAGCGGGGGCATGCACTTTGAATACAACTGTGGTTCCAGTGCGCTGGTCGTGGAAACTTCAAGTGCAACGTCCTTTTTCCCTCTTACATTCCGCGCAGTAGCTCGAGTGAGGAGCGCACCGCGCCCACGCCCTCATCAATCGTTAAACCTACACTGAAGCATACAAAGCCCCACACTAAAGATCTCGTGCTCAAGCTCCAGCAGTGCACTTATTATGAGATCTGCTTGGCCTCTCGAAGCAGTTCGAGTCCAGGTACAGCGCGATGTCAATGTCAAGTCTGCCACCAGCAGCTTTTGACGTGTATACACATGGGCTCAATAAGGAGCACGCAAGGATGTAAATGCTTCAGCTTTGGCAAGGACATGTCAAGCTGCTTGGGACCATAACTCTGGAAGATTGCACTATGTCTATTCCGCACGATGTCGAGACCTGTGAAACTTGACAATGCTCACCCAAGTACAGGGGCTTCATACATGCTCGGTTCTGGGTTGCTGGCAAACCTAAATCCTAAACCTCGAACCTTGCTAACTTGTAGTTTTCATACTTTGCACAATCAGAGGGGAAACCAAGACGGATTCCAAAATACCGGGCTGCTGTTAAGCAACTTAAGTTAAGTTGCAGTAATATGGGTATATGGTAAAAAAATACGGTTTTCTCACTATAGTCACTTAATTTAAGCTCCTTAACAGCAATCCAGAATGCCTTATGATAAGGACCCTCAAGCAGGGGTACTGTTGATACTAAAATCCTGCATGACCCTGGTACACTATAGTACCATGCTTCTCGAGGTTTCTTGCAGGATTTTCAGGGTCAACCCGTAACCTAAACCCTAACCCTATATAACCCTAAGTTTTTGCCCATACATATATATATATATTTCATTTCCCTATATTTAACGTATGTATATATATATGGGTTCCTTTCAAATCCATGTCCAAATTTATCGAGGCGGCGGGTTCCAATGTGAAGCAAAGCCGTCAGACTTTGGGGATTCGAGTTGAGGCTTGGAGCCTTCGGGTTTAGGGTTTAATTTGGGT